CCCCCCCCCAAAAAAAAAAAAAAAAAAAAAAACCCTACAGAGATGCAAAACAAAAATTTTCTCAGAATGTTGTAGGCTAATGTCAGTTTTTGGTCATAATCCAAATTTTGGCAGCCTGAACGTGTAATATATTAATGACGATCTTATTGTTAGTGTTCTGAACAGTAATAATGGTGACAAATTGATAACACGTTCTTCTGATATATAGCTTGAGCAGAAGAATAATTTTTTTAAGTGGCTTGTCACCTGACTCCTTGACCACTAACTCTGTTGCAGTTATAGAAAGGTTTGAAGAGCTTGAGGGCCGGAATCCTGGAGAAACTTCTGCTGATGACCTTCCAAATGTTCAGAAGTTGAGAAAGGAACTCTGTGAGGCACATGTATAACCCCGGAATCTGATATGCTCTTGTATATAAGTTTCATTCCTTTCCTCGAGGTTGTTAACCTATATTGCCACTTGATTACAGTGCTTAAACGAATCTCAGATCCCAGATTCTCTTCTGCAAAGATTGATAGCAAGTAGAAGCGAATTTCCTCCTGTCTGTGCAATCATAGGAGGAATTCTTGGACAGGTAATTATGCCACTGTTGTGTTGAGTGTTGACTAAAACTTTTGGACTTCTTTACTAATGTGTTGTAATTCTCTTTCTTTGCAGGAGGTGATAAAAGCAATATCTGGCAAAGGAGATCCTCTTAAGAACTTTTTCTTCTTTGATGCCATGGATGGTAAAGGGATAATAGAAGATATATCTAATGTCAACAGCTGAGGATGCTCTGACTTAATGATAGAAACCGTCTTTTAAGGAACGCTGACCTTTCTGGAGTGTCTTTTAGGTAAACCATATGACTAATTACAGCTAAACTTGTGGACATTCATTCAACTTAGAGTTCTGATCAGCAAAATTTATGATGTTTTTGATACTTGGGACCATCAGTTGAGGGTTCACGTTGTCTAATATTCTGAAACATGCAGTATTATCTCATTTTCAGTTGTCTCTCTTCTCTCGAGATCTCTAGGCATGATAAGTTTAGAGACGACAATGGGGCGGGTTTGAACCTATGCGGGATGGGCGGGTTTGGGCCTGTGTGGTTGTGGGCGGGTTGACTTTTTAAAAATAAAATATTTGCCCGGGTTCGAAGCGGGACACAATTAAATAGAGATGAATCTATTCTACACAAATTCTATGGTTGTATTGGTGAAAAGGTCTATTGTTGACTATTTTAAAATTCAACCCCTTCCTCTTGAACACACCATATCCCCACCCTCCAGAAGAAACAAAAAGCCAAAGATAAAATGACAAGTATGCTTTTACAATGAAACGAGGAAACGCCAACANGGGGGGGTTAAACTCCTAATAGCTGAAAAGCATATTCTTCAGCACCGAAATGCCTCTAGTCTTAACTCTTAAATATAACCCAGATTTGAAATCCCAAAAGAAACGTTCCATTTGATATATACCAAAGAAAAAGGAAAACGAATTAGTTTAATGAAAGTAAATATAATTAACTAACTTAAACAGGTTGAGCAGAAAATTCAAAGTAAAAAAAAAAAAAAAAAAAGTAGAGCGGGCGGGGCGGGTTGAAATTTTGTGGGTTAAAACAGTACCCACCCCTGCCCTGCCCCGTTGCCATCCCTATGAGTAGTAGTAGCCTAAGTTACTCTCCTCATGCTGCCTTCATGGCCTAATAATGAAAAGAACAGGTAAATAACAGATTTGCTGCTTCATGTCCCCATACACGAAGCTATATATTCTGAAGTGCATGTTTTGTAAAACAGTCTTCACTCAAACCCTTCTAATTCTTAGTTGTACATGATCTCTTCTGCCAGTCATTGATTTCAGAATCACCAAAAGGACAATAAAAATAAAATTGGTTCACTCCAATTTCACATAATTTTATGTATATTCTTCTTCATAAATGATTTATTCAGCATGCTCAACTTTCCAGTACCGAGTAAAGTTGTTGACCGTTGCAGATCATGTTGAAGAGTAACTTTTCTGTTGATATTATTTCAAGTTCAAGTTTTAAAATATGCTATTACGAGCTTTGTTATTAGAGTTAAACAAGCGTTGATCAGCTTGCTCAAGTTACGAAATTTAGACGACAGAAAAGACTACAAAAACATGCATGAGAATATTAAAATGTTGAAGGAGAGATTTACGAGCAGAAACAGAAAAATATATAACAGTTTAAAGTAATAATCCAAAAACGAAATTGTTTTCGGATAACTGAAGAGAGATTGATAGGAATTAAATTGGCCCATGAGGGGCTGGTCTTAGCAAAATATCCCCATAATTAGTGCCATTTGAAAAATACCTCCGGACCTGAACACACATTTATTGCTCTTCTGGGATTTTTATACCGGATTGGTAGATCTAGTTTGTGCTATATTTACTCAGTCTATGTTATTAATTATTCACAAACTCTACCCAGATGGCATAATTTTGTGTTTGCTCAATTGTTCACCAAATTCTACCATATTTAGCTAACTTTATGTTATCTGCAATTGAACTACCCAGTTGGATAATTTTATGCTTGGTCAATTGTTCATCAAACTTCACCAAATTAGCATGATTTGTGTTATTTGCAAGCAACCTAGCCTTTAAAGTTTTATTAAAAATTACCTAGTTGACGTACTTTGTCTGTTTGTTCAACAAATTATTTTTCGAAATTGCAATTTGGTACAAAATAGTATGACAAAATGGTAGAATTTTTAGCTATACATGTTATACTATATTGTCAACTTTATCAGAGTAAAGAGAGATTGAAGAGAGGATATGAACAGAGGAAGACTTGGAGAGAAAACTAATTGATTCTCATTTCTTCTGCATTCGTTAGTACTGTACAGAGTGAAGTATATATACAATATTTTTTAACTAACACCTCTAACTAACTTGCTTTACATAAATAGCCATAGCCACTTCATTAAATAACTAGCCAGCTATCACATATACACTTACAACCAGCTTACACTTTCAACACTCCCCCTTAAGCTGATGCTGTGAATATATTCTTGACCCCAAGTTGATTCAACAGAACTTCATGTTGTGCTATTCCAAGGCTTTTAGTCAGTAGGTTTGCCAGTTGATCCTTTGTTGAGAGATGATGAGTTTTAATTGCTCCTTGACTTAGCTTTTCCCTTACGAAATGACAGTCAATGTCTATATGTTTGGTCTTTTCATGAAATATTGGATAACAGATCAACAGGTTGTTGCACTTCAACTTCAAGTTCCTTGAACGACCTTATTAACCAAGTAACTTCAGCTACATATGGTGTCATGCTTCTAAATTCAGCTTTAGCTGAACTCCTAGCTACAATTTCCCGCTTCTTGGATTTCCATGACACCAAAGCCTCTCCAAATTTCACTAGGTAGCCTGTAACCGATCTTCTGGTCTGTAGACATGAACCCCAATCAGAATCGCAGAAGGCTTGTAGCTGTCTAGTTTCAGTTGATGGATTAAAAGTCCCAGACCTGGTGATGATTTCAAATATCTAACAATCCTTAGGGCAGCCTCCATGTGGGATTGTTTTGGAGCATGCATATACTGACTTAGCACCTGTACTCCAAATGAGATATCTGGCCTAGTCATGGTCAGATATAGAAGTCTCCCTACCAGTCTTTGATACTCTCCAGCATCTTCTAGTATTGGATCTTCATAAGCTGCATCTTTGTTGAATGCTCTATCAAACTCTATTGAATTAAGTTTCTGATTACATTCTAGTGGAGTTCCAGCTGTTTTAGATCCTCCTAAGCCACGCTCAGAAATCAGCTCCAAGGAATACTTTCTTTGACACATATGTATACCCTTGCTTGATTTGGAAAATTCAATGCCTAAGAAGAACTTCAATTCACCTAGGTCTTTCATTTTGAACTTTTTCTGAAGATCTCCCCTGGTTTTTACCAATAGATCAAAGTTATTTCCTGTGATGATCAAATCATCTACATATATAAGAATCACAACTATGTCACTTCCTAGATGCTGTATGAAGAGTGAGTAGTTAAAGTGACTCTGGACAAAGCTAAGTTGCTGCAGAGCTTCAGTAAGTTGGAGGTTCCACTGTCTTGGTGCTTGTTTCATGCTATACAGTGATTTGTAGAGTTTGCAGATGTTACAACCCATATCCACATGTGTTAGTTCATGCCATATATTAGTTAACATAAATCCAAGAAGGAATTATCTTTGAGATGATAAGAAGTCAATCCTATTGGTCTTAAGTGATACAAGAGTGTATAAGCGTGATTAGCAAGTATTAGAAGTTAAATGAATCAAAGATGTTGTAACTCATATTTTCAGGTAAATCTAGCGGTGCTTAATACACTCAAGAGTCATGTATTAAGGTATTTTAATCATATAATATCCGTATCATAAGTCTTGAAGTCAAACGAGTTATGAAACAAAAGTCGACAAAAGTTGTCGCAACTTAGGTTCATAATTTTACTTAAACATTAGGTCAAATGTTTCTAATCTTTTCTCCTAATTTACAAGGAATTACGGGGTGATTTACCAACCAAATTAAATATCTATGAGTCTAGTTTCCAACGCATTAAACCGTTCATTGATATGAACTCGGAGTAGAGAGATATTTGCATTTTCCCGAGACCGCGTCAAGCACCTCTCTATGGGGCCCACTAAGGTGGTTTAAGATATTTGGACCTATATAGGATGTCTCCAACCCGTTTTAAGTCATTTCTTCTCA